ATGAGAGGTGAACATCTGTTTTGTTTTGAATGAATTGAGAGGCTATATAAACTTTTGGATGAGTATAGGGCAGAATTAGTGATAAATTCAGAGAATAATCAAATTTTTAAATGAGATTCAGGGAAAATAAAGTTATGGAAGAAGAGAAAGGCATTAGATCGATATCACATGACAGCTATGAATGACATTACATAAGCTAATAATGAATATTGATCTAACCCTAACTGATATAATTCTCTTGGGAGTATAGCATGCAGGGGCAGGATGGAAAGTGATCCATGGTGGGGCAGAGGGAAGAAAGGGAGCTCAGTTTTCACTTTACATGGAGGGAAGCCAGTAGATGGTGCTTAAAAACAAAAATTAGTGAACGTGTTGTTTAGAGATATGGAGGGAAATACTAAAAGAAACATCTACAGGGGGTGAAAGTAGTTGCCTCTGAGAAGGAAATTGGAGGGGGGAAGAAGGGTCGACTCTTTATTGTAATAGACCTTGTAGCCCTACCTGAAGCCTCAAACTATGTGCATATGTAACTTTGAAAATGAAAAGAGAGGAAATAGAGATAGATTTTACTGTGAAAGAGAATTAAGCGTGGAGGAGTGTTTTTCCTTTGGTTTCGTTTCTTTCTCCCACCTTTCCTCATCCCTCCCTCCCTTTCTTTAGTAGAAGAACCTTGCATGGGTTTATTTACCATGGAGGAAGAACCATAGGGAGAGGCAGGGGTCAAAGAGAGGGGAATGGGAAGGGAGCAGTGTGAGCACAGGTGGAGGGATTAGCTTTGTACTGGAGAAGGCATCTTAACCTTGGTTGTCTAGGAGAATTGGTTTAGATGTCAGTGTTTGTTGGTAGGAGGTAGGAAGTTGAAATCGTTCATCCCTCATCGTTTAATGTCTGTGAAAAACAGAAGGGGAAGTCACTGTGAACATGTGGAAGGTTTGGAAGATTAGTAAGATGGGAGCAGGAGAGGGAGGTGACCAAGGACATAGAGTGAGACAAAGGGTTGTCAGATATTGAGGGCCCAGTGGGGGGCTGGAGACTGTAAGTTTGTCCTGGCCCCAAATTTGTATCCAGCACAGTGTGGGTGCACCTAGGACATGTTAAAAAAATATTTGCTTAATGAACGAATAAATATGGTTGTGTGAATTTCTCTGGCAGTGCTCAGTAGCCCAGTGTGGGAGTGGAGAAGGGCAGGGTGGTGGTCAACAGAGCCAAGGGTGGGGTTTGAGAGCGTGTATTGTGAAAGGAGCAAGAGTTGAGGGTGCTGATGAGATAGTGGTGGATATGATAATCTTGAACTTAGTCTGGAAAGAAAAGGAAGTGTCAAATTGTGAGGAAACAAAGGGTCAAGAGCTTGTGACAAAAAAAAAAGGAAGCCATTAAAAAAGCATGATGATAATATGCTACATTTAAATTAAAAACTTATGAATCATTAAAAATACCAGAAATAAAATACTTTGAAACTAGAAGTGATGGTCACACAACATTGTGAATATACTAAATGCCACTGAATTGTACACTTTAAAATGATTAACTTTATGTTATATGAATTTGACTTCAGTAAAAAGAAAAAAAAGAACTAGAAACTTTAAAAAGATAAAGTGTGAAAAATATTTGCAAAATTTACGACAAAAGGCTAATTTCCTTACTACATAAAGAACTCTTAGGGTCCTGGCCAGCGTGGCTCAGTGGTTCAGCATCGACCTATGAACCAGGAGGTCACGGTTTAATTCCAGTCAGGGCACATGCCTGGGTTGGATTGCAGGCTCAATTCCATGTGGGTGTGCAAAGGTAGCTGATCAATGATTCTCATCATTAATGTTTCTCTCTCTCTCTCTCTCTCTCTCTCTCTCTCTCCCTTCCTCTTTGAAATCAATAAAAATATATATATTTTTAAAAAAGAGCTCTTAGAGTACATTAAGAAGGTAACATTGTAGATGATGAGAAAGAAAATACCTACTAAGATGGGCTCCTGGTGGCTAACGGCTCAAATTAAAACAAAAACAATCCTGCACTGTGTTTCTGCCACCTGAGCCAGCCCTTATAAAGGAGTTCCTGGAATCCTATTTCAACCAATAGAACTGAGGCTTTTCCCATCCAATTGGAGCTGCACAGCGATACCCTCCCGCCCCCCCCCAGCTTCACCAACCAATCAGAGAAGCTCCATTCTGCCCAATAAAAAGACTGGTTTTTGGACCAATCAAATTGTGAGAAATTGGAGTCCTCATTTGCATGAGAATAGACCAATCAGGGACCATGGCAGGATGTCCCTCTATATAAGTTAGGTCCCCTCTGGCTGCACTGAGAGTACACTTTCCACTGAAGACTGTGTTTCCCTGGCTGGAGCTGAAAGACTGAAGATGTCTCCTCGGAGCAGACCAGCACAAAGCAGATCAGTGAGGCCCCAGGGCCACTTCACGGTCATGCTGTTTTCACAGCCCAGCTGTATCACAATTGAGCTGTTTTGCACTGAATAATATTTCTCTTTTCACCGCACCCCAGATTGGGGGTTCCTGTTGGCATTGAATTGGCGCCAATGACCACGGGTTGACATCAACCCAGTAACCAGTAAATCCGGTTCATCCTCACTCCTAAACAAAAAATGCAAATTGAAACTAGGGAGATGTCACATGTCACCTGTTGATCGGCAGTGATAAAAAAGATGCTCACTGTCTTTAACCACCAACTCTGCTTTATGAATTTGCTCTACAGATATACTTGACATGGGCAGAAGGGCATATCTTCAAGGACAATTGCTGTAATATTGTTTGAATTAGCAAGAGTGGACCTCCTTCATGTCTATTGATAGGAAACTGGTAAAAATAAATGACATCTAGGCAATGGGAAGCTATGAAGCTCTTTAAAAGAATGAGGTAGGCCCTATATGGTTTGGCTCAGTGGATGGAGCGTCGGCCTGTGGACTGAAGGGTCCCGGGTTTGATTCTGATCAAGGTCATGTGCCTTGGTTGCAGGCACATCCCCAGTGGGGGATGTGCAGGAGGCAGCTGATCGATGTTTCTCTCTCATCGATGTTCCTAACTCTCTCTCCCTTCCTCTCTGTAAAAAATCAATAAAATATATTTTTAAAAATTCAAAATAAATAAATAAAAGAATGAGGTAGATCTCTGTGTATTGTTAAGGGAATGCTCTCTTAGCTACATTACTAAAGGAAAAAAGGTGTAGAAGAGTGTTCATAGTATGCTACTATCTGTATTTAAAACAAGGAGGAAATGTATAGTCATGTATGTATGACTGAGTTTGAATAATATCTTTGGAAGAGTAATCAAAGAACTGGATAGTGGTTACCTCTGGGAATGAGAAATGGGAGACTGGAATCAGAGGCAGGAGGATGCCTTCTTTTCACCGTTTACTGTTTGAAATTAAAAAAACACACCATCCACATGTTTTTATCTTCTTAAAAACATACAAAGCTAAAAGAAAAAAGGCATTGTTTCTCACAATGTGTGCTAATTCAAAATCCCGATTTCATGGATTCTTCCTGGGACTACTGAATTGGAATCTGGGCAGGGAGAGCCTGGGACTCTGTTTTCCTTTTGCATTCCAGAGGATTCTGATTCACCCGAAGTTTGAGATCCATGGGCCAAGAGCTCAGAGGTCAAGGAGCAGGTTCATGGGAGTCAGGGATGTGACAAAGACCAGGGGGTGGGAGGGGGTTGCTACTGTGGAGAGGTAGGCAAGGTCATTGGCATTTTGGCAGCGCTTAAAGCAGTGGTTCTCAACCTTCTGGCCCTTTAAATACAGTTCCTCATGTTGTGACCCAACCATAAAATTATTTTCATTGCTACTTCATAACTGTAATGTTTCTACTGTTATGAATCATAATGTAAATATCTGATATGCAGGATGGTCTTAGGCGACCCCTGTGAAAGGGTCGTTCGACCGCCAAAGGGGTCGCAACCCACAGGTTGAGAACCGCTGGCTTAAAGCCTGTGGGTAAATAATGACTTAATTAGGTGTTATGAGCTGTAATCGGCTTGTATGGGCTGTCCTATCTGCCTTACCAGCCGCATCTGGAGCTACTTTGCTTGTGGCTCTTTGTCGTAGTCCCTCTGGCCTTCCAGGCCCTGAATAAGCTGTTCCGTTTTGCCTTCACACGTGGTGTTGTCATTGCCTGGAATGTGGACCTCCCCCTGATGTTTCAGTTCTCTGCTCAAAGGTCACTTCCTCCAGGAAACTCTTCCCCAAGCCCCAGTCTAGGTCAGAGCTCCCTGTCACGTGTTCTTACAGCTCCTGCACTCCCTTGGAGCACAGATATTGTAATTAAATAATTAGGGAGTGATTGAATGTTTGGTTAGGTCACTCCTATGTCCCTGTGCTATGCCTGGCACATAATAGGGACTTAAAATCAAGACTATTCATGGGATGAATGAGCCTTAAAGAGGAAAAGGAGAGAAAGTCTGTGCTACAGGAGCGGAGTGGGTGGTGGAGGGAAGGAATGTCAGTGGAGTGTTACTCTCTCCAGCTCAGCCTCCGGTTTTGGCCAAGCCTCAGGGAGTCTCTGATGAACATCAGAGTTGGATGTTGCTGCTCGGACTTGCCACGGCAGCATGACTCTCTGGCTGCCTAAAGCCTTGGCTTCCATGTCCGAATGTAAGTCCCAGGCTCCACGGAGAGTGTGACGTCTGTCTGGCGAGGCTGCCGCTGAGCCCCAGGAAGGGACTGCTTGAGTAACCGAAGGAGCAGTGGCAACGGACGCACTAGGTCAGAACAGGTCGCCTGCGGTCCCGTGTGGGGGCCGCAACAAGGAAGCGTCTAAGCTTTGTGGCTTTTTCCAAACGGTGCCCTTGAATTTGGACTGCCCAAATTAGGTTTCGATGTTTACCTTGGAACACAGGTACAGCCCAGTCACTCAATAAACAGTACTTGACAGCCTGTGGGCCAGGTGCCATGTGGGTACAGGGGAGCGGTTAGGTCCTCACCCACGAGCTAACAGACTCATGGATGGGCACATTCCTCCAACGCTACATAGAAAACACACACCCGCATGCCTATTAAAAGGTTTATTCTTTATGCTCAGAAACAAAGAAGTGGCCTTGCCCCTGCCAAGGGTCTCAGCTTGAAGGAATGGGAGGCAGATAGTGACAAGAGGGAATGAGTGTGCAGTTCTTTCTCCCCCCTTTTCCTACTATCACTCCTCTTTTCAGCATCCCCCTCCAAAAATTTTAGGTATGAACACAGCTTGCCACCCATTGGGGGGTTGGGGTAGCAAAGCTGTAGTCCAAACATTAATGCCCATGTTCAACAGGAGATGGGTCCAGTGCGTGTAGGGGGGTGGGGGGTGGGAAATAGGAGAGGGTCAGGGGGGAGGAAAGGGGTTGGTTGAGGAAGCTGCTGGAAGGAGGGGAAGGGAAAAGGGGCTGGGACCCACCCCAATGGCAGTGGGGATCTTGGTCCTGCCCCTACCTCTCCCAGCACCATCCACTCCCTTCTTCCAGCCCCCCTTCCTAGCAGAACTGGTCGTCGTAGTCCTCATCCTTCATCCCCTTCAGCCGAAGCCGGGCAAAGTCCTCAAACACGATGTCATCATCTGTGGCATAGCTTGGTGGTGGAAAGTAGGGGTTGAGGCGAGGGCTTCGGACCCTCTTCTCAACTTCCCACTCTCCGCCCACAGACCGAGGTGTTAGAGCGGCAATGGGACTGGAGATATTTGCAGGAAGGGACGAAGAAGGGGCAGGTGATTTGATGACTCAACCATCCCTCCCCCCAAAGAGGAAAAAATGGCGGGGGAGGGGTAGAAGGTAGATTTGAATATTATGGGAGTCTTTGTCCAAGGGTCAACGGTAGGAAGGGAGGGGATGAGGGACTTACTTGGTATCAAATTCAATGAGGTTGGTGTCCACAGGGGCATCTGTTTCAGGAGTAGCTGAGGGGAGGAGGAAAGTGGATGGTTGGGTGGGTAGGACCAGCCTTCTCCACTGGCCTGGCTTCGGGGCCCCCTTTGGGGCTTGGGGTGACATGCTTACCTGTCTGAGGTCTGGGGGGGGTGACGTGGTCATGGGGCTTGGGGTGCATAAGAACAAAAGGCAGCTCCACTGAGACATCCCTGGGGAGGGAGAGAGGCAGCATGAAGAGATGATGACAACGCAGAGCTGGAGGAAACCACGGCAAGCCCCACCCCGGGCTGCCCAACACTCACCCACCGCGGGCCACCACCAGCTTCACCTTGACCCTGTACGACACCAGGATCCCCAGCACCTCCTTGTTGGCACCCTCTTTCACGCTGCAATCGGGGGGAGGAGCTGGATCATGGCCCACGGCCCGGCACATTAGCCCACCCTTAGGGCTCCCGTCGGGACCCTGAGCAGGACCACAAACTCACACCAGCCGCAAGGCTCCAGCAGCATAGGCTGTGCTGTCATAGCCAAGGCCTGCACGCCATTCCTCTGCACAGAACCCTCCCGTGGCTGCTCATCTCTCTCCCAATAAAAGCTAGAGTCCTGTGACCTCACAGCCTTGCACCGTCTTGCTCTTCATTAGCCCTCCAACCCCACCTGCTACTCTTGTCCTTGTAGTTCATTCTCACTATGCTGGCCTCTAGGCTTGCTCCGAGTGGTCGTGCAGTGCACATAGAGGCTAGCAGCGGATTTCTTCAGACACACCGGCTCCGCTCACCTCTGGGTCTGTGTTTGCAGTTTCTGCCTGGAACACTCCCCCTACACGTCCATATCGCCTACTTCCTTTTGGGCTCTTACTCAAAATTCACCCGTGGATTATGTCTTCCCTAGCCGCCCTATTCAAAGTTAACACACCCTGCCCCTCGGTCTGCTTGGCTTTTCTCTGAACTATATCTGCTCTGTCTATCCTCCC